TTGGCCGCCGTGAGGGCGGGTGGGAACGCGATGAAGACGCGTCTGCTGTGGACCGTTATTGCCTTTTAATGCAGTGCTTGTTATTATCATAGACCGGGATGAGTTACCAGTAAGCCTCGTAATTCGCTTGTGCCTCTTTCGACTTCCACTCTTGTAAACAAGCTAGACTGCCGACAGGTACATTTTTCGGACTTTATGAAACTCCCCGCCTTGCGAACTTCCTCACCTATGGAAGCTTTCCTGTAAGATTACAGTGTTTGATGGTGCACGTTTTTCTTCCGACGCCTCTGGCAAATAAGGAGACGCCTGTTTCAGCCCCGTAAGGTAAAGATGCTTGTGTAAGGCCGTTTATGTGGGCGGGAGGTTGATATGCCTATTTATTACGTTCAAAGCTCTAGTAATCTTCCTGTTGGCCTTGATGGCATGAGTCCAATTAAGATAGTGCTGGGTCAGTTCATAGAATTGGCCTCCATGTCACGCGGTTAGTCTACACTGACGTGTGCATAATCCCGAATTTCGTGAAGCGGGGTTTATACATGTTCAATGATAGTTTGAGCATGGAATACGATGCACAATATCTGATCGCCTACTAACGTTTATTGGACGCTACTGCGTATGATGGCTTCAGTTCGGTAGGTGATCTCAACACCTAGTTCTGCATTGTATGGGTTAGTACACCGCCTGCTCGGTTTGATTTTTATGATTGGATTCTCTGGAGCGCACGCCTCGGCACTGGGTATTAAGACTTTTGAATGTCCTCTCTGATTGATTCCTCATGCTTTGATTACTGTAGACTTGTTTAACCGTTATGCATTACAGATTGCGATTCTAGCCCATTATTTTGCTTATTTAACACATAACCTGTCTATGTTACGCTTGTAGGGTCTGGAAATAGTCAATCCAATGGCGTCGGAACGGCAGGTGGACGAACACAAGAAGTATTTCAGTGCCACAGCCGGCTTTGTCAATGTCAAGGGCAAGATGCCTCCGCCCGCCACCTCCCCTAACGAAATTGCGCAAAATCACACGTCAAAAATGCAGGAATAACTTGTTGCGTGTTGAATTGTTAACATCCTTGTAAATAATTACTTTTAATACAACGCTTATGTTTGACAAAGGAGCCTATAGACATGCCACGTTGACGGTCCAAATCACAGTATTTGGGCGGCAGGCCTCAATAAAAAATGGGCCCTGTCCTACAGTCTTGTCAGGTCATCTGGGGTACTGAATATCACCTATCTATCGAACCAATGGGTAAGGGGAACTTATACGGCCTTCTAAACAGAACACGGGAAAAGGAACGGCTGTTCCAATTAATGAGGTTGGCCCTGCGCATTATCTCAGAAAGGGCAAATATCCCCGTGTCCTAGACCTAACACTCACCCTATTGTTAACCTGAACCGCTGTCTTAATCTTGACTCTGACCCCATCCTAGGCCCTAACACGGCAGATAACACTAAATCTTGCATTAAGTCTAAACCTGGTATCGATCCCAAACTTAATTATGCTCCTAAATGTAAGCTCGGTCCTAAGTTATATGGCATTTGCCGCGAAGCCACCTGTATTGCGGACGGCTCCTGCGCGCGTATCCTATTTAGAGAGAGGATATGTAAGTATCTGTTACTAATCATTGTAAATATTTTTCAGTACTCCGGACAAACTACAAATCGGGCGGGCGCAAACATACACTCAGTACATGGAAGACGTGACCATGACCTAAAGTCAGTTGTCCCAAGGTAGCCTGCTGACTCCTAAATGCGCGTTTTTCCGGTCAAATATGCAGTGTGCTGCTTACATAGTGCTTTCTCCAGTTCTTTGTTCCTATACTTTGGACTCCATTTGAGGGAAGGGGATGCGCATTGAACATTTACTTCTTATTAGGATTTTGTATGTAATTGCGTCCTCAGATTTCGCTATCGAGTAAGGAAACCGCTTTTGCTTCGAAATATTTAACTAATGCCTGGGAATTTTTGGCAGAATGTACGGTTTCACTCGTTCACTAGATTTCAAACCACATGTAGTGTATTTTCTGTGAAAAAGTCCATATAACCCTGTCTGATGCTCGAACGGCTGAAATGCGTATTCCGTGCCTTGATTCTTCAGATTGAACGAGTAAGCGTGGGAAACTCAAATCTGCTTTACAGTATCCACCTTAAAATTCAGAACACTCCCTCCCTTAGTTTACCCTCAGACGTGCAGAACCTTGCTCGAAGGGACATGCAGGAACTCAAGTTGCCCGGGTAGTTTCCATCAAATATAAATTAAATGTTTTGAGGTTTGTGCTAGAAGCGACAAACGAGATAGTCCCATCTGCAGTGCCTCAATGTAATTTAAAACCGAAATGCGCGTGGACTTCATTTATGAGGAAGCGCGCTTTCTGTGCATCTTAGCGAGGCGAACGCCGTTAATTCCGGCTTTAACTTTAAGGCGGTTTTCCTAACTGTGATCATATTATTTTCTCTTCCGCCTATTACTTTATCTAAGTACTTCCAAATGTCGCCGCATTCACAGCACCCAGACTGGCGAATTTAACTTTCGATGGGGTGTTAGGAAATAGGAAAACGTCCATGCTACTACCGTCTGGTTCCATCGGTGGGGCCGTTCGTTCATTTTTAGCACGACTCAATAATACGACAGTTCGATCGTCGGCTTCGACAATCTGTGCCGCATGCTTCAGCAAGCTGAAGGCAAACGCGGTGACTTGTGTGTTGATCCGTTTAAAGTGATAGTTGCCTTGCATAGGCTCCAGCGCTCTCTCTTTTATTTCACTCACCTGTGCCCAATGTCACGACAGAGTCAAGGAGGGAACCACAGCAGACGCGTCTTCGAACCGCGTTCCCACCC